CTTCATATAGTAGCTCAGGTGTATCAGCATGGAAACCTCACAGCCCCCTTTGTGTCTCTGCCACTTCAGTTCCAGGAGGCTTTGCGTTTTCATGGCAATGCTTTAGAGCCTTATTCAAATTTTACCGCCTTTTCAAAGGGTACATCTTCCCAATGATACCATTGTACGTGAAGCATAGAGATGTTTTTTTAAGAATAAATAAATATGATCAAGCACTAGTGTCAACGTGTCTATCAGCCACATCAGCAATGCACTTGACAGTTTGTTCCTGAAGAGGTGAAAAGGTTTTAGTACAAGTTATATGTGCTGCAAGTGATACTTTAGTATAGAATGCCAAGAGCTCTTTCCTCCCTCTCCAGTCTCAGGGGAAGGGTGGGAAAGGCCGACAATGAGCGGTGAGATAAATAGTTCTTGGTGAAATGTTAAATTCACAATGGTGATCACTTCTTTTTGTTTGTCTGTTTTTAATTTTTCTTTTTATTGCTCCCCATCCCCCTCACCTCCTCACTTCTAACAAGTGCTGACTGTTTGTCAAAAGTCTGTTCTATGCATTGAATGAGCTCACTTAAAACTCATGATGACCCTGTGAGTATTGTCATCTCCCTATTGCATAAATGAAAGCCAAACCAAAACAAACAAAAGACTGAAAGTGTGGCCCTGCAAAAATAAATTAACTAGCTTGAAACCTCACTCTTAGGAGGGGTCAGATTTTAAGCCTGATCTCTGTGATACCAGAGTTTGTATTCCCCTGGATCAATGCCACCCAGCAGTTCTTGCAGAGGTGAAAATGTTCTCCCGCTGATGCATCCACAGGGTGGCCACTGCCAACACTGACATTGGGCACTTGGAAAGTGCCTGACTCCTGTGATGGAGGATGTGAGTTTCTAGCTTCATTTTATTTACTGATTTACATTTAAATGGCCACATGTTGTTTGCAGTTACTAAATTGTATAAGGAAACCCGTGATAATTATAAGAAAATTCAACAAACAGATATGGCCTCCTCTGGTTCAGACACTTTTCTAGGTATCAGGTCTTCTCCAGGAATCAGATGTGGTTCCTGTCTTCTAAGAGTTCAGAATCCAAGATTTTTTTTCAGGACTCCTAATGATGTATGACTAAACTAAGCATTTATGTCTCTTCTATCTACTGTTTTGTGGTATCCTGTTTTTTAATTTTTAAAAATTTTAAGTATTTGAGCTTTTGGATAATTAACATCTTCCTGTGGTTTACATTTCAGTATGGAGAAAATGCTTTCTTATTCCTACTTATGCAATTAGTACTATTATTTGCTCATGTTGCCCTTATATATGCTTTATGTGGTCATAAGACAATGCACATATCTTTTTAATCATTTCCCTTTATAATACAAATCCATGCTGTTGAATAACCTTGATCTTATACTTAAACACATAACTTGAATGGCTCATCATCCTGTGTTTTAAAAGGTTCTCATTATTTTCTGTGGATGCATAATTCCATGTATACATGTGCCGTTGTTAATTAATTAATCAGTCAATTAATTAATTAATATTAGAAAGTCAGATACACAGAGAGAAGGACAGAGAGCAAAATTTTCTGTTTGCTGATTCAGTCCCCAAGCAGCCACAACAGTCAGAGCTGAGTCAGTCCAATGCCAGGAGTCAGGAGCCTCCTCCAGGTCTCTCACACAGGTGCAGGGTCCCAGGCTTTCGACTGGGAGGCAGGCAGCAGGCAGGTCGACTGCTTTCCCAGGCCATAAGCAGGGAGCTATATGGGAAGCAGGGCCTTCAGGACACAAACTGGTGCACATGTAGGATTCTGGCACATGCAATGAGAGGACTTTAGCCATGAGGCTACCATGCCTGGCCCCCAAGATTTATTTGAACAATCCCTCATTGATGGACATTTAGATTGTTTCTGTTCTTTTGTTATTACAGGAAATGTTGACATGAGTAATTTTGTCGAGACACTCTAATGTTTCCCAGAATTTACGTTTACTAGAATATATTTTACCAGAACTTAAGTCTCATGAGATGTTTTATATAAAGAATCTGAAGCTAAATGATTTTTGGTGACTGTGAGTCATTTTTGGAGTTTCATAGTTCCTGTTGTCAAAGGAAGTTATACTGGGCAGAGGGTGAGCTTGTGCTGGGCAGCTTCCTTCTGCTGAAAGGCTATCTGAGGAGGGACTCAGCTACTGGCTCTCTTCTGGGAAAGTGGGTATCTCACAATTTATCGTAGCCTCAAAAGCATCTTTACATCTTTTAATGCAGTGCAGATCCATTCTTAAATAGCCTGGGTAGTCACAGCAAGTCACTGGGTCACTTTGGGATAGTTTGCAGTTCTATGAAGTATGGATACTCAACTGAACATTCTTTAGAACACCTAATGTCCTTTTTGTCTACCTATATTTAAGTGTATAGCAATTGCATTGTGAAATCTGAGTTCAGTTGCACCAAGCATACATACATGGGCACATAACGACAGTCAATAAGTAGGTCAGCTCTAATCTGGCTGCTGGTAGTTGGAGACTGAGACAGAGAGGCATAGGGAAGAAAGGTGGCCTGTCTCCTGACTCAACAAGACCATCTTACCGTGGATTCTTGTTGGCTAACAAGGGTTATTTGTTGATGGATCTGGACCTCAAGTAGGCTATATGTATGTTTTACCACACTGTTATGGTGGCCTTAACATTGCCCCTGAGGTTTATCTAATATACTTTGAGTTATTAAATCTCTTCCTACTCTCCCTCCTGCTCTGGTAATATGGTTCACTAGATCTAGTGATCTTAGTCCAAAAAAGATGCCAGCCTTAATTCTTTAGAAATTCACAGTGATTTGCTGGCTCAAATGCTAAAAACAAAGTCTGCATTTAATTTGCAGTTAAGTATGAATTAATGATCCTGAGCTGATTTTTGACGCCCAACTAGTGACTAATCTATATTAGTCACCTAGGGCCACCAAAAGAAACTATTGCAATCTGGTAGTTCAAAGAACAGGGGTTTCTGAGGGTTAGAAGGTCCAGCAGCAAGGTCCCAGCTGGTGTGGCTTTTGTGGAGGAAGCTTATTTTATGATGTAGATGGCCACATTCTCTGGGTGTCTTTATATGCAGAGAAGGAAAACAGGAGAGAAAGAGGGGAGGCAAGGTAGGCAGGGAGGGAGGGAGGCAGAGAGAGAGAGAGTTAAAAAGTTCTTTGAGGCTTTCTCTTATCAGGATGCTTATCTTGTCTCCCAAACCTAGTTATCCTCCAATCAGCCCCAAGACCTACTAGCATCATGTTAGGATTTTAAACTATGAATTTTGGAGCCTGAATTCACTCTCCAGCACCATCTTTCTGGTATACAATTCCATAATGCTACTTATGGTGCTCCTGAATGATTGTTCTAATAGCATCTCTACAATCATTCACTGGGTTTGTTAGCCTTCTGAGGGTGGAGCAGAGATGAAGTGTTGGAAGAATTGATGGCTGGAAGTTTTAGCAGTATTAGGGGTTTTCCTGCCTCTGAATTAGCTTGGAGCAGGTGACTGGACCTAAGCTACAAAATTCTTTAGGACAATGTAATGCTCCTTATGCTTAGTATTTGGTTCTAATCACCAACTTTAGGGCAAAGGTGAAGTCACATTCAAAATCCTATTAAAATGTCCCCTCCCCTTGAACTCTGGGTGCCTGAAAACAGAATTTCTTTGCAAAGCTACAACTATTAATCATTCAAGGTCATTTTGGATGATACCTTCTCCATGAAAGTCTTTCCAAATCACTCATCTTTCAAAAGTATTTTTAACTATGGCCCAGAATGACCCCCAGTGGCTAAATTCTTGTTTTAACATGTGCTGGGATCACAAATGGGACTGATTCTTGATCTGGCTGCCCCATTTCCCATTCAGCTTCCTGTTTGTGACCTGAGAAAGCAGCGGAAGATGGCCCAAAACCTTGGGACCCTTTACCCACGTGGGCCACTCAGAAGCATCTCCTGGCTTTAGATTGGCTCAGCTTGGGCCATTGTGGCCACTAGGAGAGCGAGCCAGAGGACAGAAGATTAGAACCGGTGCCCATATGAGATGCCAGCACGTGTGAGGCAAGGACTTAAGCTGCTAGGATATCACGCCAAGCCCAATAAATCTTTTTCACAGACTTTTTTCATTCTTCTTAACAAAGAACTCTCGTGCTAATTTCAGGTTGTCTCTTACTGTTTAAGATTCCTAAAGATTAAAACTAGGAAGCTAGCACTTTCATGCAATTGATTGAGCTTGTACCTGTGGCATCCTACACATGTCCTGGTGTTCTACTTCTAATTCAGCTCTCTGTTAATGTGCCAGGAGAGCGCTGGAGAATTGCTCAACTGCCTGGACCTCTGAACGCACGTAGGAGATTCCTGAACAGCGTTCTGAGCTTTTGGCTTCAGCCTGACCCAGCCCTGACCGCAGCCATTTGAGTGAAGCTGCAGGTGCAATATCTCTCTTTTAGTCTCTCTTTCTTTCTCCCTCCATTTGAAATGAAAAGTTACATATACACAGAGAGAAGTGGGGGACATGAGATTTTCTAATATTTTGGTGTATTAAAACCCCTTCCTAATTACACAGTATAACATGATGTTACAGTATTGAGTTTAATGCTGATTATTTCATTGGGTAGATACTTTGCCATGCAATTTTATAATAGTTCTTAAGACTTATTTCCAAAATCTTCTTGAGACTATCAGTAACTTGAAATCAAGCATACAAATAAATGTGAAATCATATTTGATTGTTCCATATTGATTTTAAATGAAAAGCATTTTACTACGATGCTGTATAGAGAATTGCAGTTTGTAGTCAACATTAATACATGTTGAAGTGCGGGGAACTCTTGAACATTTTAGGAAAAATTTAAAGATCGAATGTTTACTTTGGATTCTTTCTCCTTACTCATCTTTCTGTTTTTATATAGCTTGATCAGGTACATAGGCAATCGTAAATCTGAGAAAGAGAGGATTAAGCTATATTAATTTTTAATCTTTATCTTTACCTTTGACTCTTAGAGAATCTGCTTTGATCTATGGCCATTTTGCTGCTTGCAACAGTGTTCCATCATGTTCTCTCCTGGTGATGTCACATGGAGCACAAAGGTCCAGGTCGGCAGAGAGCCAGGCTACAGAAAGTGGTGTAAGTTTTTCAGTTGTATTATTTGGGGTGGGCATTGTGGCACCATGGGTTGAGTGTCAGTTTCAATCCTGATTGCTCTGCTTCTGACTGAGTTTCCTGCTAATGTATCCTGCGAGGCAACAGATGATGGCTCAAATGCTTGGGCTATTGTCACTGTTGTGCAATACCTGGATGGAGCTCTAGACTCCCAGGTTAGTCCTCACCCAGCATGACTCCTTCAGCATTCAGAGTGAGCCTGAATTTTGAAGATCTCTCTCTCTCTTTCTGCCTTTCAAGATAAAAAACCATAAACTATGAAAATGATATGATTATATATATATGCACTTTTATGTAATAACTTTAGTAAGATGAAGTTAATCAGACAAACTTAAATATATTCAGATTTTCATACTTGCCAATTCTGGCCAAAGTGACACAGTTGGGCAACCCACAATTTTAACAATTAGAGTGTTTAAGAATAAATGATAAATTCAGCTGTCTGATTTCCAAATGAGTTTAGCAATGTAGTTAAGATTCCAGAGGATACTGTGTCTTGGATTCTTAAATCCACAATTGAAATTTTTGAAAAATATTTGAAGATAGGATAAAATCGAGAGCTAAACAAAAATGAGGACATGGAATGGAAGTCTGAGCACTGAGTTCTTATTGGTAAAGTGGCCACATATCTTTTGGCTATAATTCCTATTTAACATTTTGAAACAGAAAAATGTTATGAGGCTGCTTCAAAAAGTATGGAAAACACAATTAAAAGGCAAGTTTGTGTTGTTAAAATTTTGAAATCCATATGTAGTCTTTTCATAATACGTGTTTTACATAAAATTATTGAAGCCCTCTTTTATATCTGATTTTTTAAAATGTTTTGTATCAGCATACATTTCCCTTTTAATTTCGTTTTCCTGAATTCTTACAAGTACTCTCATGCATTAAGATAAACAGCGGAGAAAATAAAAGGAAACTGAAACTCTGAAATAATCCTAAGGGGAAAAGACAGTTCCTCTCTCTCACTGTTTTATTTTTGGCACTAGGAAATAATAATAAATAGATAAAAATTGAATGGAAAGGTTTGAAAAAATATTTTCCTTGGCAAAAATTGCCCATCTACTAAAACTGCCTCCCCAATGTCATACACTTCCTTGAGACAACTCTGCTTCCTAGGGTTTTTATTAATAACCCTCTGTGGTTGAGACTCCGTTTACTGGCAGTTTTATGGGTGCAAACATACCGGGGATTGCTGCATCCAGGGCCCCAGTAAGAAACCGGAGGGCGTTTTAGATATGGAACCATGGAATCCGGGGGAGTTTTGCTGATAACAATACTGCACTGATTTATTTTATTTATTTTTATTTGCCACTCTGAAATAGTGATGAAAAGAAGCACACATTATTTTTGAGAAATTCTACTATGACCAATTTTAGGACAATTATGCTATGACAGGGGAATTTTCTTGAAATGAAATCATGGATGAAATGTGTCAGAACTTGAAACAGGAATCTCCCCTCGTATTTGAGCCATGAATAAGTTTTAAGAAGTCAGAAGGAAAGGAGCCTGTACTTTCTGTTTTTGTTTACAGGAACTTATATTGATTTCTAGGCATTTTGAGCTTGGCATCCTACGTTGAGGTGCTTTAAACAGGCATTTGGCTATTTTATGGTGGCCTGTGGTAGCTATTCCTGTCTGATGTGAGTGTGAGCCAAGAATCTAGTGAAGGTGAACTGAAGTCTCAGCTATTCCTTTCCTTTGCATCATGCAAGAAGACAATTATGGGTGAGTTGTGGCTTAGTTTGCTCTGCCTTTGCTGTGGCCAGGACTGCAAGGCACTGTTCAGGAAGCAGAACAGCTTATTTGGTTTAGACTCCTGACTGCATGACTGGTGCTAACTCAAGCCCACTTAGTGTTTATCATGACCTTTGTTTCACTTTTTATATTTGGAGAATAAAAGGCTCTATAAGGCGGAAGTAGGATGCAGAGCAGGTTAATGCAGGCCTCATTTATGCTCAGTTTCCTTTTTTCTTTCATCCGGGGCTACAGTTTATAAGCTTGGGTGACCCGATTGACTATCTTAGCTCAATTTGCTACAAGATTTTATTTCTCACTTTGTGATTATTAAACTAATGTGTGCTCTAAGAGTGAGAGTCAAAACCACCCAAAAAAATGTGAAGTGGGAAAATATTAGCTGTGCAATTATTAGGAAGCAAATCATTATTTGATTCTTTCTAGGGTTATTTTACTAATAGTATACGTATGAATGATTGAAAATTTGCCTTGTGGCTTTGCTTGTTGTAACAACAAACTGTGACAGTTCCCTGGGGTATTACAGAAATGAAATATAAAATAGTGCACATAAGAACTTCATTTTAAGATATATCACAATTCATTATTAATTAATTTAAATTATTAAAAGTGGTATTTTGGACCAGTATCACGGTAGAGTAGGTGCCAGTCTCTCATATGGGTCTGGTTTAAGTCCTGGCTGGCCCAAATCCTTGGGGCCTCTGCACCCACATGGGAGGCCCAGAAGAAGCTCCAAGTTTATGATTTTGGACTGGCCCAACTCATCATGGCAGTTATTTGGAAACTATGGAATATATCTATCTATGTCTCTCCTTCTCCAGCTGTAAAGCATGTCTTTCAAATAAAAATCAAATAAATCTTAAAAAAAAAAGAAGTGCTATTTTAAGGGACAGCATAGCACAATAATTTAAACTACTGACTATGTTATCAAGCATCCTGTATTAGAATACTGTTTCGAGTCCCAGCTGTTCTGTTTTCTGTCCAGCTTTCGGCTATTTTGCCTGTGAAGACTGTGAAGCAAGGACCACGTATATGGGTCCCTATCACTCTTGTGATCAATTTCTTATTTTCTCTTTGTGTTTAAACCTGGAGCTTCTCTCTTCTGTGCAGTGTATGAGACTTCCTTGTGGTTTGTAGTTGTTCTTCTCACGGTGCAATACTTGAACTTGGTATTTCTGTTTTGCTGTGTTTTGGGTCATCTCTCTGTACTCCTTCCCTTAATCCTTCCCAGCCTTTATTAATCACTTAGAATAAGAGAAGACAGACAGGGAGAGAGAGAGAGAGAGAGAGAGAGAGAGAGAGAGAGAGAGAGAGAGAGAGAGAGAGAACGTGGATCCTTCAGCTTTTGGAGGAGCTGTCTCAAAATTACCCCTGGGGTGAACTTGACCTTTTCTACTTTGCTGGTTATATTAATTTTGCTTCGGGAAATTTGAAGTTAGGAATTTAGGGGATTACAGACTTTTGATGATGAGATTCCGCTGGTAGACTGGCTTTTTCGTGTTTATGACATGTTCCTCCCTCCTGTGTGTCTCACTGCCTTCACATGTGTTTTGAAAGCAATGTGGCCCCCTCAGGTTTTTCCATTTAGTGTTTGCATGACGGGTATTTTCCCTTTAGCTTCCTTTCAGCCTGTCTTTGTCGTACATTTTAGATATATTTAGAAGACAGCAGGTAGCTGTGTTCACTTTTGTTTTTATTTCAGTCTGATACTCTTAATCTTACTGAGTGCTTATTCATTTTCATGTAATACATTATTGGAATAATTGTGCTTATACCTAACATAGTAAAACTTTCATGTTTAATCTATGTCATTTCACAGCTTTCCTTTCTTTCTTATTTTTATTTGTTTTAATTAACTTTGTTTTTCCTTTGGTCCTTTTAATGTTATTTCATTGTTCTGTTTGTTGTCTTAGACATTACAATACAAATATTTTATAGCTATTGTTACCTAGGTATTACAGTATTTCATCAGTCCTTTGTGAACTAGCCCCACTTTATTTTAGGACTACCAGTGCAAAACCTTTCAGTAACTTATCACTAGCAGGAAACCTACTGCTCATTAGTGGGGTAATATATCATTTTACCAAGCAGGGGTCATTCCAGAAAGAAATGATTGGAAATGCTCTTTCTAAAAAAAAAAATAATCCATCATACTAATTACTCTAAGAAGAAAAAATCACGCATTAATCTCTATAGACACAGAATATTAATTTCACACAATTTACTAGAAATTCAGACTTACAGAGAGAGAGACAGACAGACAAAGAGGGAAATCCTCCATTCGCAGGGTCACTTCCAAATGGCTACAATGGCCAGAGCAAGGCCCATCCAATGCTGGGACCCAGGAGCTTTTTACTGGTCTCTCATGTGGCTATAGAGGCCTAAAGCCTTGAGTCTTCCTCTGCTGCTTTGATAGGCAATTGTCAGGGAGCTGGATCAGAAATGGAGCAGCTGGGACTCAAACTGGCATTGCAATCAGAGGATTATCTTGCTACACCAGGCTTCAGGCCCCCATCGTGCAAATTTTTGAAAAGACAATCCAGTTAATTAAGAGAAACATTTCATAACCATGACAGCTTACTATTTATACAGACACATGAGAACACACACACAAACTTTCAGCCAAAAGACAGTATCACAAACAATTCCAAAACATCAGAGGCATTCCTGCTGCAACTAAAAGTGAGATAGTGACACACAACCATCAGCCCCACCAGTAAAAGCTGTTGCAGAGACGCCAACGAAGCAGAAAAGAGAAGCATAAAAGAGAAAGGAATTAGAACTGCAAAACTCAAGCACAGGGAAGTGAAAGTGTAATGTTTTCACGAATTACTACTTAGAAACTCCAAGGGAATTTAACTGATGATTCCTAAACATTGCTCAACTGCAGTATTAAAACGACAAATCTGACTCATTTAGAAAATCCTTAGGTTGGAAATGATATAAACTCACTTTGGGGAGATACAAAAGGGGATTAAGTAGGGGGTGAAATGCTTACTGCTCAAATCACCAGAAGTTTCCTCTCGTGGGATTTGTGGGGAAATATAAAGCAACAAAGTAGGGAACAAAGAACATAATTGGACAATGAGGAGAGATTTTACATTCTTATATCATATTACCTGGAATACAAATTCCAGATTTTAAAATAAAATCATCATTAAAAGTATAAATAAATATTTGATTTCTATATGGATTACAAAATATTTTCT